CGAAGGGCAGGTACGGCATGGATGAAGACGGGGAGGGCAGTGGGGCCCTGTTCTGGGCTATAAGGCATGAGGCTGGAAAGGGCGAGGAGAATGATAACGAAGACGAATCTTGCTTCTACTGATAGATTGGTCAATAGTTTTCGTTGTTGTAGAAGCCATCATCTTATTTTTGGGGGATACATATGAAGCGCCCATCGTAGCGAGCACGCACGAAGGACAGTCGGGGCAGGTCATAGGTGCGTGCACTCTCAGGCACGAAGGCATGACAAGATAGTGTTGATCGATAGATATTTGCTGTCAGGGGCTTCCAGTCGTAGCATCTGGACGATCCAGAGATTCTGGATCGTCGCTTCGGGAGTAGCGAGATGCACTGGTGGCTTCTGTCCGTCCAGCGGATCCTCCTACCGTACACCCTCGAACTTTGAAGTTCCATGCTTAATGAAAGCGCAGTCGGCGCGCCGTGTCATCAGCTGACTGCTACATTTTGCCCGTGCGTACATCGCAGGCGGTTCCTGTGACTGCCGCCGTCCCTATGATCACAAGTACTTATACTCTAGCTGAAGAACCCTGTCAACAGTCATCTCGTAGTTTGCTCAGCACATGGCTCCCTGCAGTAAATGTGGTGTACCCGAAGATCCTTCCAGCCCATGGCCTATCTGCTCGATACAGTGCGGTTTGGCCAGATATTGTGTACGCTGTCCACCTCTTGCGTCTGTGGACTTTGCTGACGTTCGGACATGCCCGTCTCAGACGGCAAACTGTCGCCAAGCACATTGGCTTGCACACTGGTCGCTCTGCTCGCAGGTGTTTGCGTCGCGATACTGTGATGAGGGATACGCACGGCACCTAGGTGTATGGTGGCAGGATGACGTGCCGCTACCGCTGCAACGACCGGTCGCGGACGCAGCCAAATGGGCATCCGGGCGCGCTGTGTCGTTCAATATCGATATTACGGGGCGAAAGACCGAAGATTTTGTGTCCATCTCATCTGCGATGATCGGCGTTCCTATCATCCTCGTGTGCAGAGGTGCCAGCCTGCATGACGACGGCTACCATGTACGCGAGGTGGATCCACAGAAGGCGAAGTTCTTCGTGCAGGGGCCGCTCAGCGTGAGTTATCTGCTGATGATGAATCCGGACACAGGAACCGTGAATCCAGAGTGAGTGCCTAAATAGTGATTTGTAGTCATATGTGACTTCTACCTTATATCTCCTGTAGATGGCAGACGATGGTCCAGAAAGAGAATGCGGGTAACAAGGTCACCGCCTCTCATTCACTGCACTCGAAGGACAATCACGCTCTTACACTTTCCACGTAGATCGCAGCCTTCCGCACAGATGACCAGCCGCTTACGCCGGAGACACTTGAGACAATGGTCGAGTTTATCGCTGCGGTCGTCGAGGACGTTTCGAGCGTATTCGTCGGGAACGGTTGGCGCCCGATGGCCGAGCAGTTTACGCCGCAATCGTTCCAATTCTTTTCGCGGAGATACTTTCGCGAGCAGAGGGAGAAGGGGAGGGTGGGGTTCGATGGACCTTTCGTGCCGCTATAAATTCTTCGAGGTACGCTATTCCGCTGTCTGACACGCCGTCCATTTACCCAATCGTTCGTGGGAAGAGTCCCGTGGCGCTGGTGATACCTGACTTGTTGCATCGGCACCGTAGTACGACAGCAATTGATTGTCGTCGGATTGATGGGAAATATGCTGGTGCTCGTTTTCTAGATGCAAAGATGATCCGTCCTTGCATGTATGTACATTTTTATACTGTCGCGGATCAGCAGGCGAGCGGACTGTTGCGAGAGCACCTTGTATCACTCAGCTTATCCGGAAATAGTGTCACAAATTCCACCCCGCGTGCAAAAGTTCATTCACAAACCACGATGTCTGTCTAGTTGTGTTGGACGGTCTGGGGTGTTCGGGGTCATGAAGTGTCGGGGAGCCATCGGCGGTCAACCCCGCCATCAATAACAGATTTGGAAAGCCCCGCTAGCTGTGCGCTTAAACGCTCCTTACTTCCCGTCCTCATCACCACCGACGACGAGCACGTCACATACCGCTCCCCTCCGTCCTTTCATCCCCCCTTTCATCTCAGGATCCC